TTTTGTAAGCCGTTTAAGTGATATGGGTTGTCTAGTTCTGTTATCAGCTAATTATGTTAATTTTTATTTTTTTTGGTATTTTGGCTTTACTTGCAGCAAGCTATATGTGAAAACTGATATGGAGAGTGAAGAGGTGATGGTTTATTCTGGAAATTCAAATGGGGGTGATTTTGTTCTTGTCAATGGAAATGGGTTTGAGCAAAAGTACTGCGAAAATGGAACTGTACAAGTGGGTATTGATGAAGAGGAGAAAGGGGAAAAAATAGCCGATGTGCTTTTGGAGGGTTTTGAGGAGTACTGGGATGATATAAACGATCGTCTGACAATCTCACGGATGGTCAGTGATTCTGTTATCAAGGGAATGGTGACTGCGGTCGAACAGGAGGCAGCCGAAAGAGTTACTGCAAAAGAACTTGAGCTGGCCCGTTTGAAGGAGTATCTGCAGTCTCGTGAGGTGGGTTTCGAAAAGAATGTTGTGAAGTTGCCGTTTGGGGGGAAGTCTTTTGAAATGGGGAAGAATGGGAGTTTTCGTTTTATTACTGATGTTTGCGTGAATCATGAAAAGATGAGGGAGGACTTGTTGGCCTTAAGGAAATCGACACGCGAACAAATTATGAAGGCCAAGAAGGAAGTTGAGTATGAAAGAGGAGGTAATTCTGTGAAGATTGTCGGCTCGGGTTCTGATTTGGTGGGTTTATGCGGAGTTTTACAAGGAAATAGTTCGATGCGTGTCGATAATATGCTGGAAAGCCTGAATGCAACAGTGGATAGTGTTTGCTTAAAATTGGAAGGCATACTATTGTCATCCGAAGTCTCTCTTTGCAAATCGCAACAGGATTTAGAGTTGTTAAGGACACTCGAGGATATGGTGATGCGGAGTGTAATTTCGAGTCTTCAAAAGGAGAGCTTGTTTGGTCCAAATGCTGTGAATTGGCTTGAGAAGTTCAATGATATATCTGGATTAGGCAACCGTTTGGATGCAATTCAGAAGTCACTCTCTTTGCACGAAACTGCACTAGTTTCACACGGTTCGCAAGATTTGGACCATTTGCACCACCACAAGGCATTTTGTAATCATATTACTCCATCGACCTCGTTTTGTGAAGAAAACGGCATGCTGGACGAATCTATCATTCATGTAGCGGAGAGTTATGACTTTCAGCAGCTGAAGCACATGACAAAGGAAGGATTGGTAGATTATTTTAATAACACTATAACTGAGCTGAAGAGAGATCACGAGTCAGTTCTAGAGCGGAAGACTGAAAAGTATTTTAGCCTAAGACGAGAGTATCTGAAACTGAAAGAGAGGGGTTCCCCCGTGACACACAGAAAAAACGAAGAGTTTGATGTGCTAAGGAAGAAGATTCCAGAAGTTATTTCGAAGTTGGAGAATTTTCTCCTGGAGAATGAAAGATTTCCTGCTCTGCTCCGAAATTTTGAAAACGTGGAGAAATTGAAGCTCAGGCTGGATAGCCTTCTCCTTGAAAATCGTCAGCTAAGGAACACTTTGAATGATAAGGAAATTGAGGTGAAGTGTCTGAAAGCACAGGTTTCAAGTGCCTCTGAGGAATTATTGCAACGTTCTTTGGCTGAGGAGAATATGCTAAAGCTTGTAGAGAATCTCAAGTCAGCTGTGGATGATTCACTTGTAGAGACTTCACTTACTGAAGAAGTATATAAGTGTGTTCTCAGAGAACAGATTGAACAGAAAAGGTGCGACTTGGAAGATTCAAGCATGGAGTTTCTTATGGCCCATGAAATCTGTGATGTCATCATCAGAGAAGCTTGTGTTATTCCTGCTGAAACTGCAAACGGATATGATAGTGAAGATCGAGATATTGGATTGTGGATAAGGCGAGATTTGAGTGAGTTGATATTCACAGAGGCTATCAGGGATGCTGTAATTCTGATCAACAACTTGCGTAAGGAATCTCTTATTGATGAACAAGTGAAGATTTGTTTAGAAGCTGAAGCTCGTGAAAAAGAAAATGAACTGAGACTAGAGGTTGAAGAAAATACGAAACTAAAGCAGGATATACAGGAATTGAGAACAGCACTGCAAGACAAAGTGAAGTTAGCCATGGATTTATCGTTTTCATTGTCCAAAAAGATGGAGGAGTTTGAGCTGGCTTCTAGAGAGCTTAGTGGCTTAAGAGAACATGCAAGTCGTCAGGAGGCATTGGCTACCGAGAGCAACAGGGACATAGAATTGTTGAAATCTCAATGCTTAGAAGCTGTAGAGCAGATTGAAGAAAATAAACTGGGAAAGTTCAAGCTTCAGCAAGAGCTGGACCAGACCAAAGAGGTTTTAACAGAAACGAACAGAAGATTATTGACTCTAACCCAAGAAGCACACGATAGGTTGCTATTAGATGAATCTAGAGAGGAGAAACTGAAAAATGAAATGGAATTGTCTGTGAGTGGACTGTTAAACAAGTTTGAAGATTTCAAATGGAGAATATCAGGGGCAATCAGTAAGATAGGTTTAAGGTATAATCTATCTATCTTATGTTTTACCATGCTAAAAAATGAAGTTATATATTGTTGAATAATTATATATTGTTGAATAATCTGGATCACTTTACTGATTGCTTGGGCATATTGATTATTTTTCTTGTGTAGTCTTCTTGTCATTTTTTTTTCTCTTTTATCATTTAACCATGCCCCTCACCCCTCGTTTGTTTTTTGGTATGCTTCTTGTATGCATCATAAATCATAATTATATTTTTAATTATATTTTCTTCATAAACAAATTAGCTTGAATTTTTTATTGTATATTGTCAGGCTTAAAGATGGTAATTCTCACTTGGAAGCTCTTAACAAGATGGCCAATGATCTCAGAAGAAGCGAGCTAATATACAAGCAGAAACTGGATTTAAAAAGTGCTAATCTCCAGAAGGCTGAGACTGAGGTGTGTGCGAGATGGATATAAGTTTTTTCATTTTCGTTTCGCTGGATAAATATTTTTCAATTTCAATCTAGATTATGATTGGATACTCTTTATTCTATCTCACTTTTTTCTCCTCAATCTCATTAACCAAATTTCAAAATAAAAATCAATAATCACCTCACATTTTCCAACGAAAAACACTATTCATCCACTCACTTTATGTTTTAACTACCAATCATTAACCATCAGTACATAACTATTTTTATATCAAATCAACTTCAGTCATTACATTTTCTTTTATATTATATCCATTCACAATCTCAAAAATATTTTATTCTAAATCCATTTATCCACCATTCTGCCTCTTTTATCATGCAAGGCAATTTTTTTTATTTATTTATTTTTTTTTCCGAAAAAAATCTATATCCAATTGCAACCGGTGTTTGTGCTTATTTCAACATTACTATTATCGTGCTTGTTTCTTGCTTTATACTGATATGCTTCATGAGTTGGATGTTTTTTGTGTTTGCAATTGGCAGTTTCTTAAGCTTTGCTAGCTTGCTTATCATAGTATTTCCATGTTTCAGGTTGATGTTTTAGGAGATGAGGTTGATGCTCTATTGAGATTGCTTCATAAAATATACATTGCCCTCGATCATTATTCTCCAGTATTAAAGCATTATCCTGGGGTAAGTCAGAAATCGAAGGCTTCCAGAAAACATTATTCTCTCTCTCTCTCTCTCTCTCTCTCTCCCTCTCTCTCTGTGTGTGTGTGTGTGTGTGTGTGACTTGTCATATTTACATGCAATCTTCCTGCATGAGAGCATTATACAATTGAACTTTGGTCTCACAAATAAGTAAAGCCTGAAGTGAACTGTCAGCTGCATTTATTTTTTCTGCTTCCAAGTTACAGTTTTCCTTTTCGATTTAACAAGTCCTTACTATGGCAACACAGATTATCGAGATCCTTGAGCTGGTAAGGAGGGAATTGAGTGGAGAATCTACTATGCTTTTTTGATCAACTGCTTGGCAAGGTAAGAAAATCTTTGACCTAAAGGGAAATGATTAATGTTATGGCTTTATGGTATGGTAGTTTTATTTTCCTTTGTTTATTGCAAAGATGGCCTCCTTCGAATAATTCTTATTTTTTGAAAGCTGTGCCCAAAGTTTGAGGCAAACAGTCCTAAATATGCAAATAGGAAGTGTTGGCTTAAGTGAATTTTAAGCAGCAGAACAAGTTTAAAGGAAAAAAAAAATCAGGCAATGACATTTCAAATGGTAACATAAGTGAGGTGTACATTCATACTTCATAAAATTGCATATCTTTGGGCATAAAACTCAATGTTTATTGTATTCCTTTATATGCTGGACTGTATTTTGATATAGCGTTTGGAAGAAATATTGAAATTAAGAGCTGCAAAACGTAACAAACATTGTCTAAGTAACTCAAATTCATGAACTTAAAATCCCCCCTTTCATCTCAATTTTCTGTGGATTTGAATCCATCCTTAAATCTAGTCATTGGCAATCAATCCTTATATTTCTCACACACTACACAAGTTTAAACAACAATTAGAAAAAACTAAAACTTGTAATAGTGTATTGGAGATCTTCACAAATTTGCACTCTACCCGAACAAGAAAGTCAAATTAAAATGGAGTTCACATCAAGCTACTTGAAGTTCATAGATTTTGATTTCTTTTTCCCTTTTTTTTTGTGAATTTTATTCCTTCCAATACGTCACTTTGTTGTTGTACTATGCTTATTGTGATAATAATGTGTGGATATTACTCTTCAGGATGAACGTGAATCTTTTTTGGCCATTTTACCGTGTCTAAATATACTGGCATTTTGAACCAATATGGGACAATCGTGGTTATTGACTTGTTGAACCGGAAAACTTGGCAAGACAAGAGCCTGTTATGACCATAAAATGTCGGAGTTTTGGTTTCTACAGTTGCACGATGGTTTTTAGGTTTTGTTTTTCATTTATATGATGACCAGTTCACTTGTAAATCTGCTGTTCAATTAGTTTAAGATTAAATTCATGAAAGAAGCTTGCCTTCTCATATCTTCATTTGTTTTCTTCTCCAAGAAACCATATCAATTCCAATCAGGGCAAAGCATATCGGTTTCAGTTACTGCTAAGGAAAGAAAGGTGAAGACGAGTTTTTTTTTTTAAATAAATGATTTGCTGTTCTCATCTCCACTAATCTGACAAGCTAAAGCCCAACACAGTTCATATGGCAAGTGATAATCTTTTTAACCCTACATACCAAATATCCACTCCAGTTTGTCTATTTTCAGTAGAGTTCAATTTCTCTATTTGGCAATATCTTTTTCCTGCTTTTACTAACATGCCCTTACAATCTTGAAAATTAAAATCTTGGATACAATTTTTTGTGAGTAAGATAGAAATTATTAAATTAATGTAAAAGAATCCAACGATTATTAGGGTTGCAAAAGAGTTAAATTGAGTTGAGCAATATCTTTATCGGACAAAGCTTGCTGATATTAATACACAATAAAAATATATGAATTCTCGATAATGTTTTGAACTTTTATAGCTTAAATTTCGCTCGAGTTCAGCTCGTATTTTCAATAGAAAGTTCTACTCCAATCGAAGTTTTCTCAAATTTGGTACGAGATCCTTTTGAGTTTGGTCCATTTACCTCGAGTTGGGGGCATTAAAATAAATTACATTTACATTCGAGATGTTTGTTGACCACTCGATAAACTGCTTGAGCATATGAAACATGTTGAGAAAATTACTTACATATTTACAACTCTTATATATTTATTTACAAATTAACCAAAATATCATATTTATTTGCAAACATACCAGATTATTGAGCAATAAAAAATATTTTTAATTATGGTAAAAGCAGATTTAATTAAAGCTATAATTACCACGATATCTCTCCCTCTCTATTCTTCTTCTCTCTCCCTCTCTCTCTCTCATCTTCTTCTTGTCGCTGTTCTCCTTCTCCCACCGCCCCTTCGCCGCTCCATCTTCGTCTCGGATCTGTTAAGAACCAATTTTCGGCCACATTTCCGTTCATAACCCACTCCTCATTTTTGATCGTGTACCTCCCCAGTCCCCTCAACTTCTCAAAGGCTCAAACCCTAATCGCCCAAACTCCACAAAAAATCGCCTCAGTCCTCCGCCCGTTCGCTGCCATCCGCCCTCGCCGTGTGCCTCCGTCGTGCACTCAGTCTCCGCCGCCACCATCTCTCAGTCTCTCAATTGCGCCGTCCCTTTGCCATTTCGAAAGGTTCATCTCGACGGATTTCAGACGTGCCTTGGTCGCACCGCACCATCCGCCCTCCCCGTGCGCCGCCGTCGGACACTAAATCACCGCCCCCCATGCTAGTCTCAATCGACGTTGCCCCCCCACCCTCAGTATCTCCCCGTTAGTCAAGGTATTCTGATTTGGGACTTTCAGTCTTTCACACTTCTTGTTTGTGACATCAGTTATATGAACACTCCAATCTTTTGATGATTTTTCTGTTCTACCATGGTTACTGACTCTGAAATATTTGATTTGGTTTTGGAATTTATCTGTTCTATATGGTTACAACACAATAATTATAATTAAAACAGATTTTAAAAAGAATGGCGGAAATTGACTTATGTGGTATGTTTGTTTTCTTATTGTCACTTATGTCAGCACAATAATTATAATTCATTTGACTATACTCGTACATGACAGGATCACCATGGGGTTGGTGTTTTGTATCTGTTGATGATGGCACCGCGAAGAAGAGGTGCACATAGTTCGGGTCCACAACCAAATACCGTGCACAAGTTGAACGTCGTTAAAGTGGGCCTGCTTCGTTTATTGTAGTATATGTTGCATGTATAGACCGTATATGTTCACGACAATATATATTGCGTGAATAGGCAGACAATATATGTTGCGTGTATAGGCAATATATTTTCAGTATATATTATGTGTATAGGCAGTAGGCAGTATATGTAATGTGTATATGTTCAGTACCTATTCATTCGGCATTCGTAGGAATCCCAATTGAGAATTTGAATAGAAAGAAAATTCTAAAAGAAAAACCAGTATGTTATGTGTATAGGCAGTAGGCAGTATATGTTATGTGTATAGACAATATATGTATAGTTTATAGTATGCATTTCTTTTGATGTTTTTTTTTTTGCAATAAGTAGCTTGTTACAATTTGTATATAAACTATGTATATACTTTTATGATTTTTTTCATTGATTTGTTGTGTATATGTATGGTTTATCTTTTAGTAAAATTGTTTACAAAGTATAAAAGTAAAATAAAGAATACGCAAACCCAAAATATACTATAAAATATTCAAAAACTGATTTAAAATAAGAATAAACTGAATTTCTTTTGTTGTGTATATGTATGATTTATATACATACTACATTCATCATATAATGAATGAAAATCATCATAGGCGACTCCATCTACAAAAATATCAAAAACATATACCTTTAATCTAAAAAAAAAAATGATACATAACAGAAGGAGTGTGGAAGCTGGCTTTCAAATTGGTGATAAACCAGAAATAAGACTTGTTACGTAATTCACATATTTTTGTTTATTCAAATTCATATCAAATTATTTTTTGAAAGACATTTATTTATTTATTTTTTACTCTAACTGTTAATCTTTCAAAAAGATTTTATTTACTCGTTACCACGTTTAGGAAATCCCGTAACTGACGGAACTAAAGGTGGGAGAGTTTTTATTTGGTGAGGTTTTTGAGATTGGGTGTGATGCTAATTAAAATGCTGGGGGTGATTGTTTATGAATTCATCTAGAAATTAATTGATTTTTTTTAACTATAGTTACTTTTGAAAAAAGTTGGTATGGTTAGTTGTTAGTGGATATATTAAATAATATTTAAAATAAAATAATTAAAGTTGATATGATGTAAAAGTAAGAGAAAAATGATTAGAAATGGTGGTTAGTTAGAATTATGTGAGAAGATGAATAGTGAATTAAAGTTGATGTGATGTGTAAGAATGATTGGTTGATATTATTTAATTATATTGGAAAAAGTGGAATTGGGTTAAAGTTGAGTTAAATTTGATTTTTGATTGGTTTTTTTCTAGGTGAGTTGATAAACAATCACACCCTAAAGACCCGAGCATTTTCATGGATCGCAATATGGGCCTCGTGAATGGGCCAATCCATCGCATTTTATTTTACCAGTAAAAAAAAAGGCGATTTTACACCTATCCTTCAAGATTTGTAAAATATTAAATTTTTACGTTTCAGCTAAGCCTAGTTTCCGAACAAAAAATCACCACTCCTTAAATTTGCCCCATAATTGTAATTATATGTCTATCTAATGTCAGCTGTCAAAAGTAAAAACAACTCTCCTTAAATTCCGCTCCATAATCATTCCAGATAATGACAAAAGAAAAAAAGAAATACTTGTTGTATATGGTAATTTACTTGACTGAAATATTTGGTTTCATTTTCTCGTAAAAACTGCAACTACAACGAACTATATGTTGCGTTTATAGTCAGTAAAATTTTTCAGCTCTTAGGTGTTTTGAATGAACAGTATATATTGCGTTTATAGTCAGTATATGCTGTACTTTTTATCTACGTAACATTTTTATACAACCATATTTGTGATATTGAATTTTGGTTCAGCATATAACCTAGCGCATTTTTTATTTATATAACATTTATATTTAACCACAATTATGATGCTTGAATTTTGGTTCAGTATATTGTGTTTATAGTCAACATATATCTAATATATGTTGCGTTTTTTTATCACATGACATTTTTATCTAACCGCAATGATTTTTGAATTTTTGCTCTTTATATAACCTATCATATACATATCATAAACTGATCGTAATCATTCTTTTAATAAACTATTTTAGTCTATGTAGAGTATATGATACAAATAAAAAGGTCAGTAGCTTGATAAAATGTCAATCAATTGAAAAAATGAGTTCATCAATGGAAAAGGCATAAAACTAATAATGGTAATTGAAAAGCTTTACATCCTAACATAACTAGAATAAAATTAGGGAGTACCATGAATGTTGTATATAAAGAAATTTTTAATAATATTTAGAATTCTTTTCTTAATTCAAAATTTTTTTTGAATTAAATTATGATTTAGTATTTTTTTTCTCTTCTAAGAATTTTGATTACTTGTTTTTAATGTAACTTAACACCCAAAAATAAATAAATAAAGACCTATTAAAAGTGGCTCCCCATTATCCTCAATCCTCATTTAAAACAAATCATTCAATGTAACTTAAACCGTTAATCATTATTCATAATAGAATCTACTCACAGGGATTAGAATTTTTCAATTTAACTTAACACTAAAAAATATATAAATAAATAAAGACCTATTAAAAGTTGCTCCCCATTTTTCTTTTTTTCCTTAATAGACTCTATTAACAGAAAGTGTGGGATTTGAACTCACAGAAAGTGTGGGGATTTGTCAAATAATTTCAAATTTTTATTTGACTAATCACATTTGATCCCACCCCCTCATCTCATCAGAAATTCTACCTAATGAGAAAAAATCTACCTAATAAACCATAAAGGTTGACCATATATACACAGAAGTTGCCATAATCATGATTCAACATATACTTTTCAATGCAATAACTTCTATGATTATTTTGGTGATTTCGTACTTTATTAAGCTATTTTAAACTAGTTTAGCATTATTGTTAGACTTAAATTATTACAAAGTCTTCCAAGTTTTGGTTTATTTTGTCATGTCACGCCTTTGACTGCACACATGGACATAATACAGTGGCTTCACCTTATTTGCGACTAAAAATGTCTGTACTTCTTACTTCTTCTCCACTTATTTATTTTCAATTTCTATTTTATTCTTTAAATGAATCTTGAGTTCATATAATACTCACAATTTCTTCATGAGATATAATATTCAACAAATTTCATTCATTTTTTCTTAAACTAAAAATTACCCGGTTATAGATCCATCGTTTACGAACTACTCCTCACAACACAATCCGACGAGCTTGGAATTCCGGCATAAAATATTCGAGTCAATACATTGTCTTCTACGCTCAAGATTTTCTTGTCTCGAACTCTTGTTCTTTGTAACAAGCCATTGCATTTAACAGAAAGTAAAAAACCCGAAAAGAAGTTCATAACTTTAACCTCAATAATCTCAAAATTACAGAGGATAACGACCTTGTGACTGTTAACGAGAAGACTCGACAGCCGCAAGGCGTGTAAATAGCAAAAAAGAAAAAAAAAAAAAAAAAAAACAGAGAAAACGACATATATCGAAGCATAAAAAAAGCACGATTCGAACTCCCAACCGATCAACCAAACTTCAAGCATTCTCCTTGCTTATACCATAATGGTATGCTCTGTTCAAAGAAGAAGAAATTATAAGGATCAACTCTGGTTTTCACCATCACAAGCCTCTCGAAATTTCTCTTGTAGTACGCGTGGCCCCACGATTCGGGGCAGCTGCAATTCGACGGACAAAAATCGGTCAGCCCCAAGTCGAGATCTTTGTAGTTAACGTAACTTTCTCGCATTCCATCCGATGTCGGAATGTAATTCGCCATCGTGTCGTAAACCTTTGTCATAAACTCGTGGTTCTTGGCCGTGGTTTCCAAGCTCGTGTTGCTTGTCGTGACTACGTATTGTATCATGTACGCCGCCCCCCTGTGTACGTAAGCCGTCTCGTATTCCGAGACTTCGGCCACTTTCCCGCCCAACGGGTTCATAATCGTCAACAACGAAAAGTCTCCCGCATTGTGCAAGTCTCGTAGCGCTTCGAGTCCTTTCATTGGTATTAAACCGCGCGTGAAATCCGATTTCGCTTTGAAGGAGTTGAGGAACGCGGGCTTCCGGTCGAGAAGGTCCACGGGCTTTCCGTTGAGGTACCCGCCGATGTAAACCATTGACTCGATCCACGTCATCTCCCTGCACTCGGTTGACCCGTTTAGATTTAGCTCGGGTAAGCTTTTCGCCATAATCGAGACGAGCTTATCCCGTGTTCCGAGATAAATTCCATTGTAGATGGCGAGGACCGGCCCGTTCAGGCCGCTCCTCTGCATCAGGACCCGGATGAACAGATCTCTGCTCATCCGGTAAGCCTTCTTCTGCCACTTGTCGAGTGTCTTCATCTCGTTTTTGTCGAGAACCCGAACGGCCGTGATGCCCGTGACTTTCCTGGGCACCCGGACCAGCTTGAGCCGCCACGCAAGGATGATTCCGAAGTTTCCCCCGCCGCCTCCCTTGAGGGCCCACAAAAGGTCCGGGTCGTAATCTGCGACGCTGGCGACGACTGTGCCGTCGGCCATCACAATCCGAGCGTCGATCGCGTTGTCAATTCCGAGCCCGAACTTCCGCATCAGGGCACCGTAGGCGCCGCCGGTGATGTGTCCCCCGATTCCGAGGCTCATGCAGAGTCCCGCGGGGAAGCCGTAGGCTCCCTGCGTGGCGCTGGCCGCGCGGTAGTAGAGCTCGCCTGTGGAGACCCCTGCTTGGACCCACGCGGTCTGGGTTCGGGGTTCGTAGGCGAAGTCTCGGAGGTTTTGGAGGTCGAGGACGACGAAGGGTTTCTTCATCAACGAGACGTAGGAGAGGCACTCGTAATCGTGGCCGAGGGATCGTATCCGGAGGTCGGCTCCGAGGCGGCGGGAGCAATTGACGGCAGCCGGGACGTGGGACTCGTCGTTCGGGGCGAAGATGAGGAGGGGCTTCGGGACGAAGGGTTCGCGGCACCGGAGGTTTTGGGCGGTCGAGCTGAGCTGGCGGGCGAACGAGGCTCGGTCGATGTCCGGGGCATAGACGGTCGAGAACTGGATAGGGGAGTGTTCGTTGAGACATCGGTAGAAATTTCTCGACGAGAGCTTAGGAGGAGGCGGCGGCGGTGGTGTCGGCCGCCACCACCACGGCGAGGCCGGAGGTGCCGGAGGGCACCAAGAACAACGGTAAGCGGCCGCCGGAGACAAGATGGAGGTCAAGGTGAGGAGCAAGGACATGAACAATGCAGATGTTGTCATCATATATGAATTCTACTAAAAAAATACTTTCTTTCTTTTTTTCCCCCTTTTGATTTGATGTGTCTTAGGAGATGTGAATGTGATGGTGGTTTGTGTAGAGTTTGTATGTGGGAACTATTTATAGATTGGATGGAGTGGTGGATTGAGGAGTTTGTACAAGTGTGTTTTTGCCTAATTAGTCATAGTAAGCTAACGTTTGCATGACCCAATATTTGAGGTAATATTTCATACTATGGTTACATATTTTTATTAAAAATGTATAATGTGTACTTAAGGATTAGGCATAATTTATGAGAACTAGTTTATATTCCGAATATAAACTATAGAATAGATTTTCTTGGCAAACAACTTATGGATGAGTCCGTTATTAATTTGTCATAAGATATAAATATTTATCTAATTGTACTTTCGCATCAAAAAATCTATTTAATAAGTGTTTCTAAACAAACTCTTAAGCTGTTTATTTAACGTAACAATTTGCGAATGCTAGTTGATATTCAAAGTATAAATATAAATTTTTGTTCAAAAAATATGATGGTCAATCGTACAACAAGTTAAACTGCCTCACGTAACAATTTATGAATACTGTATAATATTCAAATTATAAATATAAGTTTTTTTTTTTTTTAAGAAAATATGACATTGAATCCCATTCAGTAATAAATACTTCAATAGAATGTTGGTTAAAACAATTTGTGATACTATTTGATATCACTTGTTATATTATTCATATCTAATCAACTACGTATGTACAGTGTACTTACGTAATTTTACTCTTTTGATCATGCGGACATACTTTAAAATTAATTTTTTTCTTGGTGTGATCTAATTCATACCGTAGAAGAATATTGACTGACTCAAGCTAAGGTACAAAAATTAAAATTAATCTACACGCAATATGATATATAAAGCTGTAAAAAAAAAAAAATGTACATGATTTTTCCTCTTAAAGCTTAAATTTAATTATTAGCAGCTACAAAATTAAATCAAGCCCATATTTAATTTTTACTATAAGGTCCAGATTTTTCTGTTCACAACCCACGTTTGCCTTTATTGCAGTCAATTTAATTATACAGTTAGTTGGAAAATTAGGTAAGTTGACTAAGTTTGCGGCACGTTTAACTAGTCGAGTTGACCACTACACGTTTCTGTATGTGTTGTTTAGATAGGTTTGCTTAGATGATTATATGTATTTTTTAACAAATATGTGTAGAATTATTGGGTACCATTGGGAATTCAATTTTCATGTGGGGAATTAGTGGGCGAAATTAATAATTTTTAATTTAATATGATGTGAAATATAAAAATAATAACTAACTGTAATATAATAGATAAATAATAAAATATTAATTGATAGTTATGAATATTTGTAATATTTGCTATCGACAAATGATTTTAAATTTAAAAATCGTATTGAGAAATTAGAGGTAAAAAGAGAGAAATGAATTGAATGAATAGTGTATTTAATCCATAGATGGGTGAAAGAATTAATTGGAAAGTATAATATTATATGAAAATTAGTTACGACCCGTGCGATGTTATTGTTATATTGTGGGTCGTCAACTTAGCATATTTTATGAATAACATATTTGATATTAATAAATATTATATTTTTATTTATGATGTTATTTTAGTTGCGACATTTGAATATATAAGTATATATATATACTAACCATTTGAATATACAAATATATATTAGTTAATAAAGTATAATTATCAACATTATTAGCTATACATATAATACTACATATACTACATACTAATTAAGTGTATAACATACAACTAATAAAAATTGAGTTCCAACTTCTAAATTACTTTATGCTGATTTCTAGAAAAAATTTCTCATACATGCTTAGACTTCCAAAAAGTATTACTCTAGGTCTTTTATCTAGACCCATACGACTTTTAGCGTTAATACATTTTATTTAATCTTTCTTTACATTTTATTTAATCTCCCCTTAAAAAATTTAATATTAGTCTCAGGGAATTTATTTTATTATTATAAAATGAATAGGAGAAAGTGAAATAGTATTTAGTGAGGGGCAACAATTATCTTAGGGCTTTGATTCAAATGTAAAATAATTGCGTTGTCTTAATTATACTTTACTTTTTAATTTATTGTCTCATTCTCTAATACTTGATTGACTAGTAGTTTACCATAAATAATTAAAAATTTGGGAGGAAAAATTTTGTCATTTGCATTAGCTAAGGAGCCTGAAATTATATAAATATAGATAAAAAAAAANTATATATATATATATATAGGATGTGGTTCAAATGAGAACCAAGTCCTAGTGTGAGAACCGTGAGAACCGCTATTTTTAATTGTATGTAGTGCTATGATTAATTGTGTTTTAATGCTATTTTTAACTAGGATGTATTTGATTAAAAATAGCAACAAAATTTTTATTAGCATTTGTGAAAATGATAGCGTCATCTAATATTAAAAATTGCATCATATATATATATATATAGGGGCTGGTGCAAATAAAAACTAGTCCTAGTGTGAGAACCGTGAGAACCATATTTGATGCTATTTTTAATTGTGTATGATGCTATTTTTAATATTAGATAACGCTATCATTTTCACAAATGCTAATATAAATTGTGTTGTTATTTTTAATAAAATTCATCCTTGTTAAAAGTAGCACCAAACACAACCAATCATAGCATTACGCACAATTAAAAATAGCGGTTATCACGGTTCTCACAATAAGACTTAGTTCTCATTTAAACCACATCCTATATATATATATATACATATATAAAATTAAAATAAGTATTTGTGTTATTTAATCTATGCATTGTAAAGATTCAACTTTTGTTAGAGTTTGACAGTTTTGCTATAAAGCCAACAGTTAACTCCATAGTGAGGGCCAACTTTCTATATACAACAAGTAAACCATACAATATTAATACTTATATGGTATAGTTTACTTGTTGTATATAGAAAGTTGACCCTCACTATGGAGTTAACTGCTGACTTCATAGCAAAACTGTAGAGTTTGATTGTATAGTTCAAAGAAATTTGAATCTTATTTGTTTTTCATGTGACAATCTTATATTATTTTTCCTAATTTATTAATATTAATTTTGTAAATAAAATAAATTTTACATAAATTGAGAAGGTAAGTGGACGCAGTCAACTGTTGGCGCGGACTAAATAAATAAATAGAAGTCTCTCCACATCAAACCATGCTTAAGCTTCTTAGGAAAAATCATTACAACAACCCAATAAGCATAAGATAAGAGCACCAGTATAATTTAGTGCTAAGATGAAATGGAACAATGACTTTTATTTGAAAAATGAAATTGTATCTCCACACATATAATTTTTTTTTTCTTTTTTTATACAAACGGAATAGAATTACTAATTAAGTAATATTTTGAAATAATACATTTCAACAAGTTAGCAAAATTATCGCCTTAATTGCATGTTTTCAATAACATTATTGAGCATGTCGGTAGATTTCTAATAAAAAAGACTAGCCAACAATTATCCCCAAATTTATTTAGGACGAAGATAAAAAATAAAAAAATAAAAAATTAATTCGAGGAGCTTTCTCCAATCTAATCAACTCACAACATTTAATTTGAAATCGATAATTTGGTACCTAAATGTTATCTGAATCACAATCAAGCACAAGGAAACCTTTCAGGCGAATCCAAATTCAAGCTCAAAAAATTTAAAAAATCAGATGATTAATTCTAAATAAAGATTATACCCCCAATAATATATTAATCAAATTCGAGTTCAAGAAAATAAAAGATTATAGGGTTGTAAATAGAGATCATTGCATATTATTTAATTAAAATAAACTCATGTAATAACAAAATTTTATGTTTGCACATAAGATTTCTCTTTACAATATGCACATTAGCATCAATTTCCCTCAACTTTATGGCAGTGCTTTGTTCTCAGTTGTTCCACAAATATTCATAAACAAATCATCCAAATATCTATAGATAATAATAAAATTACATAAAACCCTTTAAGTTTGCAAATTTTTTAATTAAATTATTTTATTTGCTGATTTTAGTGGTATCTCATGAATATGATTATATCTTAGATGATCTAAATGCTAATTAATTTCAAGCATATTAAATATATTATCTATTACCATATAATCCTAATAAGTTGCTCCCTTTAAATGATGAATTTAGAAAAATTAGCTTGGCTAGCGAATATTCTTAAACTTTCGGCAGAAAATTCAACTTCAAGTTTTGTATATATGCACGCCTATTTTGATCCATTTTAAGATAATACTAATTTATTAGAATGAGGTCACTGCATACTGTTTACACAATGTCACAATTCTAAACTTAAATGACATCAACTTACTATATTATTGATTCCCAATTGATTTAAAAGCAAAATACATATAACAATTTATTATACTTTTGGCACAATCGCGAATTTTTAACATCATCATTCCTCTAAACCATTTAAAAATAAGAAAATGCACATGTGATAATATTTTATATTTTATTAATAATAAAGTTGATAAAAACTCTATTAGGCCAAAAAAAAAAAGTCTTAGAAAGCCTTTCCACACTTTCAGTAAAAACTTATTACATCTATCAAATAATCATGAAAATGATGCAAGAGATTGAGGTTCCTTTACAAAATTTCAAGGCCTTTTTATCATGGAGAAATAGAATTTAATTAGGTCTAGAAAGAAATAGAGTTAATGATGGTTATATATAATGGTTCAGACTAATTATAGGATGAGCCAATCTAGGCCAA